TTTGCTAAAAAGTTTAAGAGTCAGCCAAAGCCCAAGGTGGTATACGAAGCCATGAAATATTTTTTCATATATTATGTGATAAAATATATCTGAATAATGACTATAATTCTCAAATGAAATCTGTAAAATAACTCATGCAATTTTTTTTATGTCTCCTAATAACTTTATTCAATTGTAATATAATACTGTTCTTATATAAAATTTAACCATTAAAAAAAACGAGCTAGTTAAGGAACATTAATTTGCTTTTTAAGTTCATTAAACTAAAAATCAGTTCAATTTCGATCGAAAGGAATAATTATAAATGTTAATAATAAGTTAATGTCATTTTTCATAATTGAAAATCAATCGATTTTATAATATTCGACTAACTATTGAAAATATTATAAAAATTATGGTTTCGATTAACATAATGGCTTTGCATATTTTCATCGTAATCTTATGAGTAAATATTCAAGATTGTTATTTTTAATAATTACCTAAGCCCATCTTGTAATTAGAAAGAATGTTCGTGGCAAATTTTTTCGTTAAAACTGCTATGAATATTATCGTTGCAATACATTCAGGATATGTGTACCATTTGTGCATACTCATTTAGTTCAACGGTCTAACCGAGTAGTGGCAATTTTAATACATATTGTTGCACATGAAATTCAAGTTAAACATTTTTACACATTTGTTGTAAGTTAAACAAACATAAATTTGCTAGACAATTAGTGTTATCATTTAGCCATACAAACTATTTTATAAACGAAAATAATAAATAATATGAACATATGTACTGTTAATTAATTAAATATTTAGCTCAAAATAATGAATACGATTTAAATTGAATTCCAACAAATCAAATCAAAAATTGATTTTTGTATGTTCAATTAAAATACAATAAGGTAGATTTACATAAATAATTCTGTTAGATCGAATTACGGTTTTGTATGGATGATCTTTTGATTACATTAACTTTCTGATGAAGTGTACTGATACGGAGTTCCTATACTATAGCATTTTGCATTTAAACATACTTGAGTGTAGATATTATTGCCTAAGTAACATTATGTTTGATCATTGCGACTTGAATAATACATGAAACACTTACCAAGATGGATTACTAGTATGCTATTATCACTCGTTCGGTTAATATACAATCAAAGGTCATTTAGAGGATATACGTAAGTGGAAACGATCCAACAGCTACCTGATAACAGCTCAGACACCAGATTGATCACACCATTCCTTTTCAAAGTAAATAACATCCCTAAGCCAGTGAAAACTATTCACTTCATTGTTCCGATTTAAAATTAGTAAAATTGTATGATTAAATATTTAAATTACCAATAAATCGTTACCTACAAATAAATAATTTTGTGAGGATTCAAATGTATCAAATTGTAGTTTTGTACATAGAAAATAACCTGGGAAAACGAAATCAGGAAAAATAAAATATTAAAGCTCAATAATTCGGAAAAATTATCTTAGTATTTTTTTAGTACATTTCATCACCGAATGAGAAAAAAGGATCCGTTGAGATTTTTATCCATTCACACCTAATTCCTCAATGACTTTTTTGCTCATCATTTAATTTTTTATTTTTACTCTTTTCGAAAATTACTCTTCGGTTTCATATTTATGGAAAGGATCAAAATCTCATGTTATCTATAGAAGCAATAAAACAACAATATTAAAATAAAATTTTTCATTTTTGCTAAAAACAAAAAACTTGTTGATATTTTTATCTTTATAATATAATAAATACAAATAAATTTAAAAAACACTTGGTGATAACATGTTTATAAGTTTGTTAACTTTAATTTTTTTGAATTTGAGTCAGTGATTTTAAAAAGTGCTGTCTCTCGTAGGCGCCTTTTTTCAAGGCCATTTTTGCACATAGAATGCATTTTATATTATTTAATAAATCACATGAACTCAATGCAAAAAACAAAACAAATCTAACACCTCAATGTAAATAGCATAACGTGCGATGTAAGCTATGTAAATTTTTATCACCTTATATTCGTTTAAAAATTGTTTGATAATCGTCTCCAATAAACACCATACAAACCTAAGGGTTATTTATAAGTAAACTTTACCTATTTTATTGAGCTGTTTTATAAATTACGCAAGTCGTAGATTACGGTTTATATTATATTTTTACTAATTACTTTATCATAGTATTATAATTTTCCAGATGTACCTATACCATTTATAACAGTTAAGCCTAAATATTTGTGAGACATCCCAAAATAATGTCATCAAAATTTTATCGATAGATCACTTAGCCTACATGGACCCGGTACAGTTTTTTGGGAGTCAAAAACAAAAAATAACTTAATGGCCTTTTGTATTTTTTGATGCTTAAAACAACAGTATATTTTGCGTAAGAAAATTATTTCATGTTTTAATTGGGATTTTTTTTTACTTTCAAACCGAGTGACCAATTATGATTTTTAAAATATTTGTGAATTTTCCGTTAGAAGTACTTGAATAACTAAGTACCTAAATGTCTACGTTTTAATTAGAGCATGTCAACTATAAGTGTTCACATTGATTATTGTAGGACGTATGACATTGATAACTATAATTTTTCTAAGTATTCAGTTCCACATGTTTTTTGAAAATCAATCTGAACTCTTATATCCCACACAAACGAAGCACTTAATGAGCTTTATGTTTCGGGATCGCCATTCCGGCACGTGTTGATTGTTCAGTATTTAAAGTTATAATTGATTTCCAGATACATTTATTGATAACGACAGTAAACTTAACAAACTCATTTTGCTAGTGATATACATGTTATTACCCCAAGTCTAGCAGTCTAGTTATATTAATATATAAGCTACAATTGGAAATTATATATACGTTAGTATTTTTTTTTTAAATGGCTTGTAATAAAAAAGTTACTACATGAAATTTATGAATGAAATATTTCCATTACAATAAAAATTATACCCATACAAGCATAAATCTGATCACATGAAACGCAATTGCACAAAGAATTTACTGAATTTTAATATAATAAAGCATAATTATGATGATCATGCAAATAATTTATCATTAATGAATTCTGTAAATAAATGTAATAAAGCATCACAACTGTTATAAATACGTCTATATATGTGTTTTTTTTTTCATAATTTTCTAACTAACGGTTTATTTTTAGAGAATTCATTTAAACATGTTTATTAATAACACGAATATAACAAATTGTTTACGTTTTTATTTTAAAAATAGCGATTCCTTAAATACTTACAAGTTTTGTTAATAAGATGTATTTAATGTTTTTAATTGAATTCAATTCTTGAATAATAATTCTACATCATAACTAGTTAAAGAACTTTTGAAATTAAGATAAAATTCTAAGTCAAAGTATGATATATAAATATAAATGTGAAATTCCTTCATCTAAGTAAATAAAATTGATATATTGTCTGAGAAATTAATTTTAGATAATAGATTTTTAATAGGTATATAAATTTTATCAATAAAAACCCATTACTACAGTAAGCCAAAAAATTATAGTAAATTTTAAAGGTTTTTTTACATATTTATTTAAAAATTTTTAGTGTATGCTATTATCACTCGTTCGGTTAATATACAATCAAAGGTCNTTATTCTTGAATTTTATAATTATGATAAAATAATTAGATAATAAAAAGTTAATTTCAGTGACATTTTATTTAAATTTACTTCAAGTATTTATGTATTTTTTTAAATTCTATGTTTACTGATAATTATATCTCTTACATTATTACAGTTAGACATTTTCAAATATTTTTCAAAAACTACCAAATATTTAAAAAATAGTTTTTATATTTATTTGATAGATTATTGAATAGTTTGGATAACTATCGAATAGTTCGATATATCTCATCACAAGTTATTTTTAGTCGTATAATTAGTAAAAACAATGTGATTTATCATATTTTGTGATTTTTCAAGGGTCGTGTACTGTCTGTTATGATCTATTACCGGCATATCATATAGCGGCGTTTGAATTATAGTTCATAAATAACCTTAAATGCCACAAATATTTTTTATTTTTGTAGCCAAAGTGTGTGACCAGAACATCTCATACTCATTAATTAATGCTTAAGTGCAACCGTAAATTTAAAATTCGGAATTACTTCTGTCTACTAGATATTTAATAAAAAAAATTGCATACACCACTGAAATACATTGATGTGTAAAAAAATTTGTTTACTGATATCAAGATGATGATCTAGAACAAAATGTTGAGAATTTATGAAATGAGTCACACAAGTTTTACGTTTAAATGTTTAATTTAGAAAATATTTATACACCTAAAGTTTTTGTACTAGGAAAACTCATGTTAAGTGCCCATGACATTTAAATACTTATATCATAAAATAACTTATATTTATGGCGTATGGTATTTTATTGTACCCTTTGCTGAAAAATAAACGGTGTACTGAACATTTGGTTGTATATGAGTAAACTTGGCGCAAGCGTTTGAGGGTCATCTTTTCCCAGTCTGAGGAAAAATAAAAAAACTGCGTACGCTGCCGTCGAAATACATAAATGGTCACCCATCTGAGATCTAACGGCGGTATCGGAACACATGTCTTTAATGGTTTTATTTGCCAACAATTTGAATTTTTACTTATGAAAAAAAAATCACAATAATGTGCATTATTTTTCAACAGAAGTTCTGTTGGGCATTTTATTCATTGTTTTTTTAACGACCTAAGGTCCTTTCGGAACAGTGTTTCGTAACGTTTGCAAAACAACCCGACATGCTTTTGTTGTAAATCAAAATAAAAACGTTGTAGTGCGTAAAAGCGATTGTTGCGATTTCCTTGACCTTTTGTATATAATGACAGCCCTTTGGTGACCTTCAACCGCCAACGACTAGATGGCGGTGGTCTCGCGAAAACACTCACCTTTGCAAACCACGAAACGCACTGTGGCGGCGGCGGCGGTGATCCGGACAGCGGCAGCCGCGCACCTGCGCAAACGCGACCCGTTCGCCGTTGATACTCATTGCAGGCCTCGTACGACATTCCTGCGACGAGCGAGCGGCACTGTGGTTGTAACCCGCGCTTACCATTCGGCGTGCGCACACATCATAGCAACACATACAAATACATATCGGAGAAGACTTTCAAATCGGTTATTATTTTTTTTTTCATTAGCAATAGCGTTTCTGACCGTGTACATATTGTGCCCCGTGTAAGGTCACGGCAGGCCCAATTGTGCGATTCCGCGTACGCGAATTTTCGCAGTGCTCAGCCGGAAGACAAGAGTACGAGTGATTTTTTAAAGCAAACTTTCTTAATATCGACACCGAGGATGCGGGCCGTCGTCCTGTGCGCAGCCCTGTTCATCGCACCCCTTTACGCGCTTACGCTCAAGGTAAGAATTGTTATATGACATGTCTGTATTTCACTTTTGTTATGACTATACGGATAGCACATTTTGGTGTTTCACTATTCGTAAAAAATACGGTTATAATGACAAATGCAATTAAGATAGTTGAAATAACTGAGTATTCGGTTAAGCCGACCATCCGTTTAGTCGTTCCAACTGTATGTTTATTAGATTCGCCACTTTATATATCCGTGTGTTTATTTTTCCGTGTGCTGTAAAGACTAAAATAAAATCGATAGAACTCGTGTGTGAGAGTCAAAAAGGACAAATAACCTTAAAGTGGATTCTGTATGGATACGTGACCGAAAACCATTACAACGCCGAACATGTTGTGTTGGTAATATTATGACTATAGACGTATGATAGATAATAGGCAGGGACGCATGGGTTTTATCGAAGAAGGGAATTCCACCAACTACCCTTCGATATTGTCCACTACTACTATGTAACACAATTACGTTTTGCCATGGAACTTTAATGGCCTGTCACCTTGCTCAATTTTATCGTAAATATTCGATCGACTTAGTGTAAGCGGAAAATTAATTAATAATAATACCATTAAAATTATAATGGTTCTAGCGCTGGACAGCTTCCCGGCTACTGTTTTAAAATAACTGGAAACGAACCAGTCCGCAATAGGTAACGTTACACCGACAATAGTATGTTTGTAATCGCTACCTGTTCTAGTAGTACCCGTACAAATGCGAGTGTACGTCCATTTGCGTGTTATTGTCCTCGTCGCTCACGCTGTGCTCACATTTACCGGTGACCATTGGTATTATATCTTGTCCAGTTAGACGCGCGTGCACTCTTTGTGAAAGTCTAACGACAATGTTAAATGGAACCGGTTGCTTTTTATTACTTTTTTATGTATTAGTGTACCACTGACAAAAGATCAAAACAAACCAAACGTTTAACAGAAAATACACGTACGTCGGACGACGGGTAATTTGTTAATTTTGTACATAAAAACTGTCTTTTTACGTTTTGGATTCAATTCCTACGCAAAGTTTGATAGCAATCAGTGGGTTTTTCGAGCAATTACCATGTCCCCATTTTTTTTTTTTTTTTTTTTTTTTTTTTTATGACAACAAAATAGTACCATGTTGTGTCTTAGTTGGTGACCGAAAACCCTGAGGTCTCGTATACAGGCCACTCTTTATTTTTATTTTCTAGTGACAAAATGCGGTCTTCTATAATCCTTCCAGTCGGACACCCAGTCACGTTTTTTCGAGACTAACGCCGCGGGCTGCCCGCACAGGACGAACAATTTTTTTTTTTAATTTCACTCTCGAGGAACAGACTTAAGACACAACAACTCGAGCTTCTCAAAACCGAAGTAGTTAATTAATATTTATGACGAGACGGTATAGTTTTTTCAAATCGCCACACTCTGCTGTTGACCCAAACTTTTTTGAAAATTTAAAAAACACACGTTTTAAAAAAATGTTCTTAAGTTTACCCACAATAAGTATAATAACAAGTTTTAGAAAACGTTAAAGTGTTAGACAATGGATTTTATTTTCGAGTTTCTACTCGAATGGTATTGTATCCTGCATTAGTTTCGTTAACTAATTACATTTTTTTATCTGTTTACAAGAAGCGTAACAGTGAACACAATTTACGAATGGCATCTTTAAGCAATCTGTTTTCGCATTACTAAACAGGACAATTCAATTTTCGATTCTTGAACATTGTCGGACGTGCTGTTTAAATTTAATGCGAACCAAAAGGTTTCGCACGTCGTCAAAGATCTTCGAAAGAGGCTGACCGTTTGTGTTTACGCATATAGGCTTGTGTACAAGATTAATTACTCATCCAGGTGTATATCACAGTCTCTTTTTAAACCGGTGGACGGAGTGGTGGCGGTGGAGTAGACAAAACATTTAATGCAAAAACTAAAGTAGTCCTTAACGCACTTTTCCGGCGTTCGCGTACCCTCAACGTCCTCCTCTATTTTGCCGCATAACCAGGCCTGCCCGGTTATTAAATTCCACCCGGCAGCAGAACACTGTAGGGTAGGCGGACGGTTGTTTTCCACATGTAACCGACAGCATGGCAGTACCAGAAGTGGTGGTGGACTGCGAAAGAGCCGTTAGGGGAGGTTGAGGGGTAATCAATATTTCCCAACGTTGCCGGCGCGCGGCAGCCGCTTTCTACGTATTGCATGGGCGCCTAGCGTCTTGAAGCGCACCACGGCAACCACAGAATAATTACAGGGCAGTCACCGTGGTTTTTTCCTAGTATTTTGTTTTCACTTTTTATTTTTATTTCCTCCCCTTTTATTTCGTACTGCGGGACCTATTTCCCTTGGACCCAAACAATTGTGAATTCTCGTAAACGTATTGCGTTTAATGAGTGCTGGAAATATCGTCGCGTTTACATTTGCCTCACGTGTACAACAACCAAGTTAACACCTGCCGAATTACATTCGTTGAAATCATCATTTCCTGAGACACTCGTTAAAAAAGTAACTTTACACTGAACCATCTCACTGGTTCCGTTGTGTAGTTGGAGACACTGTTTTCATTATTATCATTGTCATTAAATGTGGTTTTAACGTTATTTCATAATAATTTTATTATAATGCAGCTAAACGGTTAAGCACGTGTAGTTTACTATATAGAGCCAGAAGGGATATTAAAAGAGGCGTTCTAATTACAAGACCGTAGAACACTTAAATTAATTATTACACAATCTCGTTTATGTGTTAGGACACTAAAGAAAATATCAAGCTTATAACATGACTTTAAAATTAACTAAGTCAACTTAATGCGTTTAATAGACTTTGTCTACTTAATATTTATATTCTATTAGAATAACAATAGCGATTTAAACATTTAGAACTTGTCTTTGAGCTATTATCACATCTAAATTTTCAGCATGAAATGTTACAAAAAATAAATAAATACTATGCTTATTTAACTGCTCTTGTGTATGAAAGCATTGGGTGCGCCATACTGTAGCACATGTAGCAACATGTTGAATTATATATTAAATAGTAAATACAAATTGTAAATATTTATTTTTGTTTATTTACTTGTCGGAAAAATATGTTAAGTATTATACATGACCATAAGCAGAAATTACCCTTTAGATTTTCAATTTTTTTAGTACACTATAAAACTTTCAATTCTATTTATTTTTATAAAAAAATCATAAAAATATTAGTATTTTTATGGCATTAATTCAATTTAATGGCAATAGCCACTAAATTGATTTGTACAAACTTTTTAATAAATAATTTCGTTGTTAATTTAACTATAATTTAATAATTATGAATTTTAATATACTTTTACTGCTTATACTACAATATCATACCTGTTTAATAATATTTGTTTACAAATTTTATGTTCAAAGTATTCATCAGTTAAAAATTATTGTCTTATATTTACTAAAAACGTAAAACGTTTAATTGAATTAGTAATGTAAAAGGAATATCTATAATATAATATCAATGATATGATCATTTACAATGTAAATACATATTTTTTGGAAAATTATTAGTCAATATTCACATGAAATATTTATTGTAAAATTAACTAATCACTATTAAAAAAAAAAAAAACAATAAATATATTAATTATTAACGTAATCCGCCATCTTAACAAACCTTCTAGTACCAAATAGTATAATATTAATAATGTACCAGACTCGTTATTCTGTACGTCATGTCATTTTCTCAACGTTTCATAATTACTTAAAACCTCAGGCAAAATATGAACAAATTTATCTTGTTTATTTTAATAGAGATGAATAAATCATTAAACCACAGAAGTTGTTTTTGCAAGTAAAAAATAACTCTTAATTATCACCATGATTTCTAAACATACATCCGTCAATGTTTTCAGTGACAAAAAATAAGTTTTTGTTGGATTATTATACTTTTGTATTAGTATGAATAAGTATTAGTAATTTTAATAATATTATACCTTGATTATTCAATTGTTATTATCTATTTTAACTTATTAATACTTACTAGTAAATTTCAGTAAAAAAATTGAATGCTACTTCATTATCATATTAAGAATTCTTTGTTATACATATGGTTTATCTATATTTACTTTTTGGGTCAAAATAAAAAAAAAAAGACTTCAAATAAAAAGTAACCCCTGTTGTGGAATTTCCTGTTAAATAATCATACAAAAAGAAATCGCTAGTTTCTTTTACGTTTATTTTATTTTTTACTTTTTAAGTATTTATTTAAATCATGCTCAAATCATTATACTATTGTTATGTAAAATACTCTATGGCAAACTACTTTAAAAATTATTATTTTTTTGTCCTGATTATGTATTTTTTAATAAAACAAAAAATAATTATTATATTGGTTAAATACAAAAAAGATAACAATAATAAAATTTAATGTTTCGTTTATATAAAATAATTTGTTATTATTTAAAGTAATCTAAAAAAAAAAAAAACAAACTAATAAAATAAAGGGGATAATCAATTGATAAAATTAATAAAAGATCTTAATATTATACAACAGCTATTTTAAAGCTGAGGACACGTAAATTTAAAATAATGACTAATATGTACATACATTTTTTATTTTGCTGGATTTGTACCAACGATAATAATTATACATTTTAATATCACTGCAGTCATTTAAGACTCAAACAAAAGTGAACTTCAATCACAAAATACGAAGAAACTAAAAAAATGTGTCACTTTTTTAGTTAAAATAATTTAAGAAAAAGGAATGGTTTTAGTGCTCAAATGACTTTAATTTTTAAGAAACTGAAAAGCTCTTTTCTAATCTAAAGAATTATTCTTTTAACATTTCTAAGTTGTTGATAACTTAGGACGGTACTCTTACTCGCTATTTGGAAAGAACATTACTGTTAATTATTGTAGGCCGTTCTTAATTCATTACCATCATACCAAATTAAATAGCGTGATCCTTGTCTGACATTCAACTTGGACGAGACCAATATATTCTTTACGTCCCTAGAGTTTACTTTCGGGTCTGAACAATTATT